ATGAATTTGATTTCAGTAATGTAAAATGACAGAATTGTCCTTCTTATTTTTTTGCTTTATTTTAGTTTATTTTACAACTTACATGTAATATATTATAAAAAATAAAAAAAATATTAAATTTTCATTTTATTGATTGATTATTCATTTCAATAAATTATAAAAATCATGCTAATAAACATTATAAGTTAAAATCATCGCAATCAAAATATATTAATAAGTTACCAATAGATAGAATAATATTTCGATACATTCCAATCGGAGTATGTTAATTAGTTACCAAAAAATATACCAAAAACTATTTTTATTCAATATATGAATTAGAAACCCGACCCGACACAACTCAAAATAATAAAAAAATTATTTTTATTCAATAAAAACATTGACTTAATTGAAAAAAATATATATATATAGAGGGGTATTATTGTAATTATTCCTAAATATATAAGGTAAAATTATATTTTTTTCGGGTCGGTCCGGGTTTTTTTTCACCCTAAACCCAAACCCGACCCGAATATCACACTTAAAAAACCCCGACCCGACTCGAATATCACACTTAAAAAACCCCGACCCGACCCGAATATCACACTTAAAAAGTTCGACCGACCCGAATATCACACTTAAAAAGCCCGACCCGAACAAAATAAAGTTTCACCCGACCCAACCAGAATATATGAATTAGAAATCCGACCCGACCCGACCCGACCCAAAATAATAAAAAATATTTTTATTTAATAAAAAAAGTGACTTAATTGAAAAAAATATAGAGAGAGGGGTATTATTTTAATTATTCCTAAATATATAAGGTAAAATTATATATATTTTCGGGTCGGTCCGGTTTTTTTCACCCTAAACCTGAACCCGACCCGACCCGAATATCACACTTAAAAAATCTGACCCGACCCGACCCGAAATAATAAAAAAATATTTTTATTCAATATATGAATAAGTTACCAAAAGATTGATGAGGGTAGTATGATCAAATTTCAATTCCCTCCATTTTTTGATGTAATTCACTTTCCCTCATTTGATGAAATTGAATTCCATTAGGGATTTCAATTCCCTTGAAAAACTTGAACCAAACATGAGAAAGTGGTGGAATTCAATTCCAATTCCAATTGATTGCATCCTACCAAACACCACCAAAGAGGTATTTAAAGGACAAGAACAGCTTCAACTGTTACAACAGTTCAATTGATATCAACCGCATGGCCACGTGTGTATCACACCTAACAGCTTGAACAATTCAGTCATTTACAAACAATGTTTAACACTAAGGTATTATTTATTTAAAATTTATTTAATCTATTGGTGATATATATATTGTAAATGTAATTGTTCGAGTCTGAACAAATATTATTTAAAAGAAGGGTTAAGAAAATAAGATATTACATGCTCGTTCAAAGACATTCGGAAATTGACGGTTTACACATGATTAGGTTCCAGCAAATTTGAAAATAAATTAAATAATTGTATTTCTCATTTTCTTTTTAATTTTTTAAATATATGATTTTGGTTTAATCATTGATATCTTATTCATTGATCGATTATTCTGAATCAAATTTTATATATGTCTATTATGAGAACGAACCTTTCAACACAATTTACTATTTCACAAACGTCACCATATTATAATTTTTGACCTTATTTAAAACATATGATACCTCGTCCATTAAACCAATTAGTTGTTATTATATTTATTTTATATTTAACATGCTTAATTCATAAAATTAAATAATTTTTAAAATTAAATTATCTGAATTATATTTATTAATACCAGTTTTATTACTTCAAAAATAGTAATAACATTTATATTAGTTTATTAATAATTATTATTACTGATAATTTTACATTATCATGTAATGATAATATTAAAAATCAAACATGACAACAACATTTCGAAATATTTAAATTATCTTAATAATGTAAAGTTCCTCCAATTGAACGGTCCAAGTGACATTCATAACCTCCAGAACGGTGATTATGGTTTTAACCCAATAAAAAGGGAAAATCCAACCAAAACGTGACAAATGGTTGAATTGAGATGAGATGCGAATTGGTATAATGCAAGAAACTAGGGTGATTATTGAACGAGTCGATCGCAAGTTGAATAATATTTGATTCGTGCTCGTTAAAACATTTTACAACTCGACTTGATTCGTTGCTCGTTAAGCTTGTTAAAATTGTGCTCGACTCATGCTCGTTAAAAAAATTGGTGCTCAACTTAACTCATTGCTCATTAAGCTCGACTCGTTGCTCGTTAATGTTACTAAAAATTTTACCTTATTTTTTTAACTAAAAATAAAAGTTACTAATACTATATGTGATATTAGGGTTGGGTTTGTTTTTTTTTATTTGTATTAAAATGATATTATTAATAAATAATATTTTATTATTTATTAAAAATGAATAGATTAGTTAACTCACTATTTTTTATTATTTGTTAATAAATTATAAATTATAAATTATATTTATTTTTTGAATGAAATAATTTTGAAGTAATTATTAAAAACATATTTTAAAAGATTAATGAGTTACTTTCGAAATTATCGGGACGAGTTAGACTTTACTCAACTCAACTCGTTAAGATATTGAGTCGAATTCGAATTCGAATAAACTCGAATACAACGTTTATCAAAATTCGATCTATTAAATTCGTGTTAATCACCCCAACAAGAAACCATGAACGTTTGTCCTTTTTGGTTTTCACATGTGTGTGTTTGGGGAAATGTATAAAAGAATCCGATGTAAACTCGGATGTGACAAGACACCACAGCAGCATTAAAGGTTAAAATATTTTATTGGTCATTAATTATAGGTGATATATAGTTTTGATCACTGAAATATAAAAAATTAAATTTCATTAAATATTTTGAATTGGTTTTTTGTTAGTATAAACTGCATATTAATCATCCCCTTATTTCATTCTTATGACTTGATAAATAATTATTTTTTCAATATTCATTTAAAATCGTTAAAAATTCATATAAAAATTTGACCTTTAATGCTATAGACTCCTATTTCAGTTATTCGTTGAAATTAATTTTAAAATAAATTAGTCGGCTTTTTAAAAATATATTTTACTATTTTACATTTTTAAATGAGCACTCCAAATATTTGAAATAAATTTTCTTTTAAAGATTTTTTTCTCGTTATAACATATTCCAATTAAATTCATGTAATTATTAATTCCCATTTTAACATATTCTGTATTTTTTATTTTAATTATATTGTAATTTAGAAATATTATTATTTTTTAAATAGAATGAACTTCAAAATATTAAATTAAGTTAGGTGGCGTTTGGTTCGCTAGAATGTTTATGAGGGAATTGGAATCTGTCAGGAATTGGAATCCAATCTCATGTTATGTTTGGTTGGCAGGAAATGGAATTGGAATCTAATTTCATATTATGTTTGGTTCACAGACATGTCAAATGAATTTGATTTCAGTAATGTAAAATGACAGAATTGTCCTTCTTTTTTTTATTTTATTTTAGTTTGTTTTACAACTTACATGTAGTAATATATTATAAAAAAAATAAAAAAATATTAAAATTTTATTTTATTGATTGATTATTCATTTCAATAAATTATAAAAAATCATGCTAATAAAAATCATAAGTTAAAATCATCGCAATCAAAATATGTTAATAAGTTACCAAAAGATATAGTAATATTTCGATACATTCCAATCGGGGTATGTTAATTAGTTACAAAAAAATATACCAAAAACTATTTTTATTCAATATATGAATTAGAAACCCGACCCGACATGACATAAAATAATACAAAAATTATTTTTATTCAATAAAAATATTGACTTAATTGAAAAAAATTATATATAGATGAGTATTATTATAATTATTCATAAATATATAAGGTAAAATTATATATTTTTCGGGTCAGTCCAGTTTTTCTCACCCTAAACCCGAACCGAATATCACACTTAAAAAAATCCGACCCGACTCGACCCGAATATCACACTTAAAAAACCAGACCCGACCCGAACAAAATAAAGTTTCACCCGACCCGAATACATGAATTAGAAATCTGACCCGACCCGAAATAATAAAAAAACTATTTTTATTCAATAAAAACAGTGACTTAATTGAAAATTATATATATAGGGGTATTATTGTAATTATTCTTAAATATATAAGGTAAAATTATATATATTTTCGGGTCGGGTATTTTCACCCTAAACCCGAACTCGACCCGAATATCACACTTAAAAAAACCAACCCAACCCGACCCGAATATATGAATTAGAAACCCGACCCGAAATAATAAAAAAATATTTTTATTCAATATATGAATAAGTTACCAAACGATTGATGAGAGTAGTATGGTCAAATTTCAATTCCCTCCAACAAGAGAATTGAATTCCATTATTCTTGGATGAAATTCATTTTCCCTTATTTGATGGAAAGTTGAAGCCATGAGAGATTCTAATTCACTTGAAAAACTTGAACTAAACATGAGAAAGTGGTAGAATTAGATTCTAATTTCCCTCAATTTCAAATTTTAAAGAATTTCATCCCACCAAACGTGGCCTAGACTTTTCTCTTATGAACCCTTGAATACCCTTTCTACCCTTCTAAACTTTAGTCCTCCAGATTTGAATTCGTATCCGGGGGACCCTCTCTCTTTCCTTCCTGACAAACGAATAAAACCGTTAGGGGTAATATCGCAATTATCATCAAATCTCAATGGCAAACTCTACCAGAGCCGAAATTTCAGTCCCGTCGACTGGATCTCACCACCCGGAACCGCTGTGCTCGAACCCCGATAGCACTGCTTCTCACTTCAAAGACAGAAATATTCAAATGTACTTCACTCTTTTACCCTCTCCGCAACGTTCAACCCTCATAATTTTCATAAAGGAGTAGGGATACTTTAGTCAAAATCTATTAGCAGCCTTATATTTATTTATTTTAATAATTTCCAGAAGCCCATAATTTCAAATTTTGTATCGTTACAATTCCTCGGCGCTATATATATTTAAAAAAAAACCGCAGCCCGGTGTCCGGCTTCCCTAGCTTGTACCTTGCTCTTTGGATGTTGTCCTTTGCTCTCCGTTTTTATTTTCTCCATAAAAATTATTTTGCTTTGAATGCTACAGTGAAGTTGGCTTAACCGTAGTCTTCGCCGTCTCCAAGATTTCTAGGGTTTCTAAGTGAAAGCTAGTTTCAAAATTTCGGGGGAAATGGCGGCGGAGTTTAGTTCTGGCTAGTTCAGCTAAAGTTAGAGCGGGGATTGTGGACTGAGAAGGAGTGAGTTTCGGAGAGAGAGTCCGGTAAGAGTGATGGAAGAAGATATAGAGATGGAGATAGAGCCAGTATTCGATGTAAGAGAGATCGATCTTGATTACGAGTTCGATGCGGCTCGGTTCTTTGATTTCACGCGCGAGGAATCGCCGGAGGAGACTGGAGAAGCTGAACTTTGGTTCGAATCGGCGCCGACTTATCCTCCTTCTCGTCAGTTTCTATTTTACTTAATAATGGTTGCTTGAAGCAAGAATTATTTCACCAGTGTTTTATTTTATTCTGTCATTATATGTTCTTCTTGTTTGACTAAAGAAAATATGCCGTTGAGATATTTAACTTTCTTTCTTAAAAATAGAGTTTTAATAACGACGATTGACATTTCTTTACTTTCTTTTGGTTTGAAGCTTTTGTGAAAAAGTTGGTTATGAGAGAGGAAAGCCTCCTGGAAGTTGTGACTACGTCCCCAAAATGTGTTGAAGAAGATACTAGTACACTACATGAAAGTGAAGCCGAAAATTTAACGGCCTTGGAATTTTCAGCTGTGGGTGCCATTAACGAAGGTATAGTTGACTATGTTTGGTGCTTTTATTTCTTTGAACTGGCTTTCTATTTAAATTTTAAAGCGGAATACTATAGTTTGCCTGATATTAAAGAGCCGTGGAACTTGGTTCGGAAAAGAAAGTCTTTGAGGCAATTTTGTGCATCTGCACGCAATTGTATGAAACTTGTGTTCCAGTGTCGTCTGTTTTAGAGTTTCTGGTTAAACTATTGATAGGGGGAATCAGTAAGAAAAATGGTTAAAAAGGGGATGTTCTTTTGAAATCCTGGAAATTGTGCTGGACTGACTACTTTTTTTTTAGGAAATGAAGGAACTAACAGAGGGATCTCCGCCAATATACAGAAAATTTTACAAAATGCACTGAATCAATCATTTCAATTAGCTACAGGTGACCAAGACAATTTTGCAAAGCAGTTTTTAGTTTTCTCTTGCCACTCTCCTCTGTGATGTTGCTTTCTCATTATTATCATTTTTGCCTTCTCTCAAGTTCTATGAATTTTTTTAATCATTAATTCCAATATTACTTCCTATACTTTTGCTCACTTCAATTTGTTCTGTTCCCTTTCCCAGACTTAACAACTTACAATCACTTATCCCGTGATAAGTTAAAAGCTAAATCTAAGAGTGCAAAACCTATGCAAAGGAGCTCAACTCTTATGAAACCTACTGCTAGCCAGTTAGCCAAACAAAATTACCCCCTTCAAGCTGCCACATCCAGGTAAGTCATGGAAATTTGACCCCCCCCCCCCACCATAAGTTTTTGTAGTATCACAATCCAGGTATCTTACCTCTTGAAAATGATTACTTTCAGCTTCATATTCCTTGCAATGTAAAAGCATACTAGTGTTAATAAGGCGATTTGCTTGTGTGTAAACTTCTATTATAAAATGCCTGTCTCCTGGTGGTGACTAATATCCTAGTTAGCAACATTACATCCTTAACAATTAAGGCCTTTGTATTTGGTTTCCTATTGTAGATTTCAGAAGCAACAGGCGCTAAACAGTAGCAGAAGCCTAGGTAATTCTTCTGTCATTGAAAGTCAAGCTGCAAAGAGGCAGAAGCTAGAGGGAGGTCTCTTGCGTAAGGTACAAGAGTTGTGAAAATTCCCATACTCTCACTATGGTTGCTTATACTGCTGAATTTGTTATGGAAGCTATTTGTTTTGAATTTATTTGTTTTTAAAATCACAATAAAAAAGTAGTTTTATATTGTTGAAGAACCTTGCCCCTTTAAATGTTCTCAAATTGGCAATGGAAATGAGTGCATGTTATCATAAGGTCCTCTTATGGGTTGTGTTTTTCACATATGAAGTAACAGACCTATTAAAGCTGAGAATAAAGGCAAACTAGATTCACATAGATCAGTTTGGCATCTGGCTTCACTTTTCTCGCATTAGATTTCTGACTTTGGTATTTGAAATTATCTTTAATTTACTACTATGGTTCAGTTACATGTTTATTGAATAAACTTCTGATTTTGGCTCACTTTTGTTCTTCATGGTAGGTTGATGAGGTGAAGCAGCAAACGGCTTTGGTCCACAAGCCACCTAAAAAAGTATACCCCTGAATAATGTTTAGATTTTGGGAATGCAATTGGATCTTAACCTGTGTTGCATCTGAGAAATTCTGAGCTTTTCTTTTTGGTTGCAGGAAAGTACCAAAGATAGAAATGCTATCAATACCGGGCTGAGGCTTACCATTCCAAGGGAACCTGAGCTTGAAACAGCACACAGGGCTCAAAGAATACGGTTAGCTCAGGTCCACTATCTTTTACATATTGAGGTGTAAAGTAAGAGTATCCTTAACAAGCTGCTGCGGCAATGTTGTCTTCATTTCAGGCCTAAGAATGGTACAGAGGAAGAACTTGTTACATGTGTCACACATAGATTCAAAGCACGCCCATTGAATAGAAAAGTTGGTACTTTTGATGTTACAAAAGGGACTTCCTCCAAAGCTGATTTTATTGTACTTCTCTCCTCTCAAATATGTTCACAATTTGCAGATTCTCGAGGGTCCTTCATTGCCTGTTCCAAAAAAGAGTGTTCCAAAGTTGCCAGAGTTTCAAGTAAGTAATAAAATGCGGTTTCTTGATTGTTCCTGAATTAATGGCATTTTGTGGAAGCATCAAAAGCAATTTTATTCTAGAAAAATGAGGTTTCTTGCCCTCCATACGTAGCACTGATTTCTTTCTCATTGCTCCTTAGGAATTTCACCTGAAGACATTGGAAAGGGCGGTGCATCTGTCATCAGCTGTATCCTCCTCATCAATACATACCAATGCTGCTGATAAGGTAACCACTGATATTTTTATTTATCATACTTTGAACTTTTTCACATCTGGATATCCGGAAAACTTCTGTTATTGCAGGGGCTTGAAAAACCTTGTACAATTTCTGCTAATGGCAATGGAATTAGAGAAGCCAGAAGGTAAATGCTTTAAAATTGAATTATCAGGTGGCTGGTTTTATGCAGAAGTTACAATATATAGGTATCTAGATCATATATGCTTGTGATAATTCTTTTTTATGCGGCCCCCTTTGTATAACTTAGTTTTAGTTTTGTATTGAATCTGATAAAGGAGTGAATTTTCCACTTTGGGTTTTTCCCTCTTCTTTTTTGTTTTTTATTCCTTAGACCAAGTGTCATGGATGCCACTAGCCAGGATGTCTGTGACACGAAGTACAACTTCAAAGCTCGTCCTTTAAATAGGAAGGTAAAGGAGTAAATTGAATCAATGTATTGTTTATTTAAAAGCTTGAGCTAGGTATCAATGTTTCTGATCTAGTGAGAATCTAATTCCTTATGCAGATATTTTCCAGTAAAGGTCATATTGGTGTTTTTCGAAATATAAAGAGGGAAACCACAGTGCCAATGGTATGGCATGAAAGTTCTTTCCCATTTTTATACATACTGATTGTTTGCTAAGTTGTGTTTTGTCTACCATACAGGAATTTAATTTCCAAACCGAGAAGAGGGTTCCGCAAAATCCACCCATCGACCTTTTTAGCAAGGTGAACCTTAAATTAATTAATGTCTCATTTATGCTTAATATGCACATCCTTTTTATTTCCAATCATCATTTGATGTGTTTGATATTTTGGGGGGTTTTGTTGTGTGTCTATTCTATCTGCCAGTTATCTCTTACATCTGAGCTCCAGCCAAGCAATGGATCTCAGATGAAGTCTCCTCGGCCTACCTTTATATCTACAAAGATTGGCCTGGTATTATAACTCTAATTTCCTTTTAACACTCGTAAACTTTCGATTTTTCTGTGTTATTCATATAATTGTTATTTGGTTTAAGGGCTCAAAAGAAAATAGATTCACTTCTTTCCAACCAGAACACGAGGTAAATTTCATAATTTATGTACAGAACTTCCATTAGCATCTTTTTAGGTCTACCAATTCTCTCTCTCCATCCGTCCCCACCCTAATACATCTAAATGCCATTTTCTTGTAGGCGAGGCATTTGAGAAAGGAGAAAACGCTTCTCTGGGGGAAATAATCACTGAAGTTGGTAATCAATTGAGCATAAGGTAACATTGGGGTCGTTAACACAGTAATATCTCTTTCGTATTCATTTTGATAATTGTAGATTTTAGAGAACATATAACTCTACACAGATTATACAGGAGATGGACATGTTCCCTGATAATTTGCGACACCGACGTCCAACTTAATATGCTGCTGTTGATTCGGGATTTTGAAGGATCAACACTTTGGCAAGTGCATAGATTTCTTTTTCTTGTTACTAGAATTCAATCTTTACATCCAAAGGTACTGGCATGTTAGATGTGCTCGTGTGTGCTCCGAATGCTTTTGGGTCACACGACTCACAAAGTGCATGCTAAAACTCCCCCCAAAAAAAAGGGGGAAAATGTTACACACATTGTACAGCCCGAATATGTTGGGTGTACTTTCTTACCCTTTATCAACAAATGTTAATGGCCATTAATCTATCAATCGTATCCAAGTCACCTTTGATCCACTGCTTTTACTGTGTTCTTTTGTATATGATGAGCCTTTTCGTGAAGGGCGTGTTGGCCTTGTGCTTTTTTATAGCAATGGTGATGTCATTAGGAGACGATGTCTGATTGTACCAAACGAAGGCGTGCAAGAAGGGTCCGACATGAGTTATACATACACGACTGCTGATGCCAAGAGATCCCCTCGCTTGAGTTCTGATTTTGTGCCATGTTGGAACACGCTTGCGTACAAGGACATTAAAGATTCGGTAATTTTTGGCGAGATCCATGATATGAAAATATCATATAAAAAAAGCATCAGAACAAATAAACTTATTTGGCATAGATAGGTGGTACAACATTTAGATCATGTGTTTAGGGATTTAAGACTCCAAATCCCTCGTTGATTTATCATTGTTGACTAACCTGAACATAGAATCCACCACTATCCGCCTCTTCTATCATCTAACCCGTATGATTCAACCATGACAAATGTGTTTTGAGAATTTGAAGTTTAAGGATTTAGAAATTATGAATTTTTAGGATTTAAAAAAACTAAGGATTTTAAGAGTTTTAAAAACTAATGATTTTTTCAAGCAAAATAAATTAAAAATAAAGTAAAATGATATATATTCATTAGATGATATTTTTTTACGGATATTGAAAATTTAACTTTAAAAAGAGTAGCACGATCCAAGCGACTTCTGTGGTAAAGGATTTCTTGTAATTCTTTGAGTACTTGGGCTCTATCACTATGAATGTCAAAGGTGTAAGCATTCAATGACAAGGGTTCAAAGTTTATCTTTGAATATATATTGTCTTGTATTTAACCGATATTAATAAAAAAAACTTTAAAAATAGTAATAGAATAAAAAATTAATTAGACACCTACCTTAAAAAATAATAAATGTTACACTATTTAATTAAACTTGTCAAATAAAAGGACTAATTTGATCAATCTTACTAAATTTAGGGATATTTTGTATTTTAAGACGATTTAAAATTTACTAATTTAACATACTTTGATATTTTCTTGGGCTTCTGTACTTATTTATTTCACTTTGAGTTCTTTGTCAAAGATATCGAATAAACTGAAAATTTGGCCCATGTCGAAGGCTAACGGTAAGCATGCAGAGTACGGCCCCACAGCAGAGTTTTGTCTCAAATAAACTTAAAATAATTCAATCCTAAATCCTACTTGTAATCAATTTATGATTAAATGATTTTTTCAGAAATTAAATTTTAAAAAAGAAAACTTTTTTTCTATTAGTAGAAAAATTGTCGAGTGAACTTTCATTTGTCTTTTCCTTTTTATTAGCAAAATTAGAAGTATTTTTTTAATTAATCATTGATATTTGATTTATTGACCGACTAATCCAGATCGGATACTGTAAAGACGAAGGCGACCCTCCTAACCCATTTTGCTCCATTCGCAAACACCAAGATTTGAACCTTTGATCTTGCTTAAATGATCTAGTGTCTCATCTCATTAGACTAAATATAGATAAATTAGAAGTATTTTGTTAATATGGAGTGATTGGTAATTTTTTTAATTGTATTAAAAAGTAGAGTGAAATGAATGTCAGAGAGAGAAAATCTTCAATATAACTTAATAAAACAAATCATTTAAGAGAAAAGTGTTTCATTAAGCGTTTAGGGGAACGGCCAATTAGGATAAAAACCAGAGTTGATGCCCTAACGTCATGATAACATCAGAAAAGAGTCATGGGAAAGTGACGGCAAAATTGCTATTGGAAAAAAATAATCGGCTCGTATATGATTTCGTCCGAATAATTTTTTTTAGATAATGTGATTGTTATAGTATCAGGAAAGATGTCAAGAATATAATGCGTTTTTCTCATTCTTCTTTATTTTTGACGCAGTTAGTGTAGATACTAATTTTTGTCCATTATATATATATAGTTTGAAATCATTTTGAAAATTATATAATATATGAGTTTTTTTAAATATTTTGAAAATTATATAATATATGGGTTTTTTAAATATTTTGAAAATATATAATAGATAGTTTTTGAAAACATTTTTGAAAATATATATTATATTGTTTTGAATTTTTTTAAAAATATATATAATATATAGTTTTTAAAAACATTTTTGAAAAACATATATATTATATAGTTTTGAAAATTAGTTTTTAAAATATATATATTATATAGTTTTGAAAATTAGTTTTTAAAATATATATATTATATAGTTTTGAAAATTAGTTTTTAAAATATATATATTATATAGTTTTGAAAATTAGTTTTTAAAAATATATATATTATATAGTTTTAAAAATTATTTTTTAAAAATATATATTATATGGTTTTGAAAATTATTTTTTAAAACATATATTGTATAGTTTTAAAAAAATGTTTTAAATTTATTTATCTATCTATCTATCTATTTATTTATTTATTTTATTATTGTTTGTTTTAGGTCTAAAATGGGGTCTAAATAACCAAAGAACCAGGCCTAAACCAGCCCAAAAGTCTAATGAAACGGTCTAGTAACAGTTCAATCAGATGATGTTTATGGTTTGGGACCCCAAACAGTCAACGCCGCGCAGTCAGAAGGTCCAAAGGTCCGGTGCGAAACGGCCGGCGGAAATCCTGGGATTGATCCATCCCGGGATGACCTGCCACAACAGCCAACGAGCCCCGTATTTCGGAAGTCACAAACGGCCGGTGGGGGGTATAAATATCCCACCACCCATCGACCAAACGGGGACAGAGAGAACGAACAAAAAAGAGAGAACCACAGAGAACCATCAACCAAGTACCATCGAACAACAGAGCAAACCTATTATCAACAGTAAACCAAATAGGTAAAAACCATCATCATCGAGAGATCGAACCACAAGACAGAGAGAGACAGTACACACAAAAACATCAACGAGAGAGCCACACAAAGGACACATAGAAACCGAAAGCCATCAGCAGTACACAAGTAAACCAAAAATATCAAAAACCAAATGACCACTACATTATCGAACATCGGAAACATAGTAAAACCGAGAGATCAAGCAAAACAACGAAGCACAAAGATCAAACGGCGAGAACAGAAGTGGAAAGGTCACAGGAAAGGTAAAAGGCCGAGACTTTAGGTTTAAATCTATGTCGGTGGGGGTATTTTTGGGTGTTTGGGGCTCGGCTTCGGGTTCTCGGGGAAGAGGCGAGTATTTTGGTATTTTTGGTTTTCTCTGGCCGCCGACGGTGGCGGCCGAAAACGACGGCGGACGGCGGTTGACCGACGGAGTGGCGACCGGATCTTGATCGCGCTGGAGAGAGGCGAGAGAACCAAGTTCTCTCTCGTTTTTAGAGAGAGAGAGAGATATGAGGAAATGAGAGAAATAAGAGGGAAATAGACTTGTTTGACTATTTATATACCAGGGGCCTCCTTGTAATTAAAGGTTTCTTAAATTCTTTCCGTCGTCCCTAGAGCTTTGAATCGATTTACAATTCAGTCACCAGTTGTAATTTGGCCTCAGAATTTTCAATCTAATCAATTTGATCCTTGTTTATATATATATATATATATATATATATATATATATATATATATTTGTGAATTGGCCCCTCACTTTTTTATTTTCTATTTTGCAGATCATTCTCCTAATACCAATTTAGCCCGTTAATTCCGATTCATTTCAATTCGATCATCTAATTTTTATTTTATCATTTTTAATGTAATTTTTATTTTGTTGATTTCAAATTTTAATTCTTTTTTATTCCTTCACTATTTTCTTTTTAAATTATCAATTTTCTTTTATATATATATTATTTAATTTGTTTCCTTTATTTTATTTTTCTTTATCATTTTTTATTCCTTATTTATTTATTTCCTTGTTTAATTTTTTATTCTTTTTTTCTTTATTTTGATTTGTTATTTTTTCATTTAATATTTGTTTATTATTACTATTATTATTTTTCTCTAACATTTTTCAGTCTTTTTTAGAAGAATTACAACTAACCAAAGGTGAGTAATTTGAATTGAATTTTTAAATTTCAATTTAAATTTAAATTTTCGCGAATAAAGACAACCGACAAATTAATTGGTACCGAAAGGGCGGTTCAAGGGTGTTAATCCTTCCTTGACCGTAACCGACTCCCGAACCCGACACGTTTCTGGTACAAAGTAGATCATGTAAGATGGTGTCCGACCCATCTAAATTCGTTTTAAAATGGTCGATGGCGACTCTAACCCAATCAATTCAAGTCGAAGCCCAATTTCGGGCCCATCCGAAAGATGGTCCCGACAGCTTGGCGACTCTGCTGGGGACAGGTAAGTGAGTGAGGCCAGAATTAATTGGTCGGTTTTCTTTTTATGCGAAAATAGTCAATTTAAATTTTAATTTATTTATTCGATTCCAATTATTTACCTTTGATTATTTTTTCAAATAAATAGTTGTACTAACGTTTTTTCAATGATTTTATATTTTCAAAATTTTAATCTCTAGCTCTATACCCGAGCTCTGAACCCTATTTAAGTAGGGGTAAAAGCAACGCCTTCGTGTGAATTTATTCACTGCACAGGCCTAGCAAGTAGCCTTCGGGATTCATATATCTTATGTCTTCGTGTGAATTTAACTTAGTCCACACAAGCTTGTAATGGGCTTAGGGCTAAGGGTCTGGCAAGCCCAAGGGGGCATCGGCAAGGAGAAATCGAGTACCCTCTTTAGAACCTAAATCGGGAGAGTACAGAGAATTAGAGCCACCCCAAAACCTCATTCCAATCCCTAGGCGGCTTTGTTTCCTACCTTATTTTCTGTTCAAAGCATGCGAACTAGACAAATATGCGGTTAGGATTTATTTGAAATTAGCATGCGGGATAGAGATCATGTCCGGGTAGGAATACTAAGCATGTTCGGGTAGATATCATGTGGGGTAGGATTTTTCATTTTTTATTATTTTGATTTACGTCACTAACTCTTTTTATTTTTTTGTTATCTTTCATTTTATTTTCATCACTTGCATCATTTAAAAGAGGTGTTGATCCACCAAAAA